GGAAAGAGGGAAAAGAGTTTTTTGGGTTTTTTTAATCCCCAAACCCAAGAAACCCTATTGACCAATATCTAAACTCTTATTGCTAAAAAGGCAGTACTGGGAAACTTCTCACAATTTCTAATGAGATTTCTTCCATCTCCCTGCAGAATTTGGAGAGAGACTGATTTTAAGCTACCTTTGGTAAGGTTGCATTTTTAACAGAGTATCTTCCTTAATATCAATAGTCAAGTTCACAAAGAGAGACTGTTTCCATTATGGCTACTGGACTTCCAAATCTTTCCTCTTAGTCAAAATCGCTGCCATTGAGGAGATCAGGTGGACGAAGCACTCCAGCTAAAGCTTTTTTAAAACGCTTTGCAGTGTATCTGGATCACGCTATTTCATACGTTAGTCAGAACATTTCCCTCCGCTCCAAATAAGCATAATCTTAGTAGGAAAATAAACACTAACATTCCCACGTAGGTCTGTGACTACCAGGATGTGCACTGGATTAAGTTGTCAGAGTTTTGAATGTTCCACTCTAAATCTCAGTCAGATACTTTGTTGTATGTGTGTCTTATTTTCCTCACGGTTCATTCACCTATAGTTCTTGTGCATTTAGACTATCACTTGCAGGGTTTTGGAAGCCATCCCTAATAACACATCCGGTATTCTTGAAGATACTTTATCCTGGTACCTTCAATGTTAGCAGCCACCTAGACATCAAAGGTTTGCATTTGGCACAAGCAACTGTGCAACCAAATGAGTTGCTTAGAAATTCACAATAATACCAGGCAACAGCATTAAAACTGCTGTTGGATACAAAGTTTGTGAAAAGTTTAACCCAAAAATTACTCTACAAAAGAGCATTGTCATAACACTTAACTGGGAATGCAAACATACCTTACCTGAAAACTTTGAAAGTAGCTGATGTGGTCCCACATTTACATAGCTGTGGTCTATTAAAAACTTCTCCCAGCAAAAAGCAAAACAAAATTGCTAGCACCATTGTCTCAAAAGAGCATTATTATCATCATCATCATCATCATCATCATCATCATCATCATCATCATCATCATAGTTCAGAATGAATATGAGTCTTAAATCCCCTGGTACAATACAGAGTGATCGCCCTTTCATGACCTTCCCTGGCAATGCCAATTATCCAGGCTTACAAATTTTACAGCATACCCATGGGAAGACCATAAGTTTGGACCTCTGCTGCCCTTGTAAAAATGAATGTTTCCTAGTTTGGAGACTGTATTATATGCTGCACAGAAGAAACATGTGCATCCTGCTGTACATAGAGACCTTCAGGAATGTATAATTCAACCTGCTGTTCTCTTTGAGCTGCATTAAATTTGGACTTAGTTGTGTCTCCTCCAAGGCACTGCACATCTCTCACTCCTCCCTTCTCTGCTACACAATTTCTTTCTGGTTTTCCCACTGCACATTTTAACCCATGTGGCCTTTGGCTGTAGCATTAGAGAACCTTTTAGACTACCCTGAAATTTTATCTCATCAGCCTTTTAGTGAACCGAGAGGAGTCTGGAGCAGTGAGGATGCTCCTTTCTCTCAAGCCTGTTTAGATCAAATAGACAAGCAAATGTGTTTGCTTGCACCTGCCAGTTCAGGTTCTCTGCTTCTATTATTGCTAACTGCACCAGGCACCAGCAGGCAGGAAGCTCTGTCTCGTTTTAGGAAGCTGCCTTATGTTGTCACCACTAGACGAAAGAGACTAAAGTTTTGGAAAAATCCACCTGAGCACCTTTTCTATCTATCTCCTCCTGACCCTGCTCTACAGAATTAGACAAAGCTCTGCAAAAGAAGAAGTAACTCCTTTCAATGACACAGAAAGAATGCTGCTCTTCACTGGCACATGTGTGGGAAAAAGATCCGAATTCTCCAGCCATATTTCTAATGACATGTGCAACTGAGAAGAAAAACTCCCAGTACCGTGATGACAGATACACTCAACTACACATACCTGTAACAAACACAGCATCTCCATAACACTCTACCAAAAGCAACATAACCTTTTCCATTCACCTGCCTCCTCCTGCATGCACAGGAGAGAAGATGGGTTTTGCAGGCTCTCCGGAGGTCTGAAGGCTGGGACACCAGGGAAGGAGTGAGCCCAAGGTCAGTGATGGGGTGCAGAGAGGTGCTTGCCAGCACTCTTCCTGTCTTGACTTGAGCTTGAGTCTTCAGTTGTCCAAACTATGTATGGCTCCCACCCAGCCTACACGCTCCCTGTCCTTTCTGGGCTGCCAGAGGAGCTGGTGCGTGCCAGGGAAGGAGTCAGAGAGCTACTGAGATACGCAGCCAGATCTGTGACTCTGAAGTGATCCAGTGCCTACCAATACAGACATAGGAACACTCATGTAGGCACAGAGTCTTAAATAACCTGGTCCCCAGGTCGCTCAAAGGTTTGTGCGTAAACACTGGCCAGCTGGTGCATTTGCACTTCTCCGTGAGATTCATTGTGTAGTGAGGCGGTGACGTGTTGAGAAACAGCCTCTGTGTCAGGGTGATTTACCCTCTGAAGGGACTCTAAACTCCCAAGAAATCTGTGCTTTAGTAGGGCTATTATGAAAGGGAGATCAAATTTTCAAAATGAAATCAAAGGAAGAAAGACACACAATGCTTTTAGTACTATATAATTCAAAAAAAATCAGAAAAACATAACCAAACGTAAAGGTTCCTAGTCAGATTTGCAAAATCCGTAAAGCAATAGCAGGTGTTTAACCCAGTGCATGGATGACATAGAGCAGGAATATTACAATACATTACGTCTGTGCCATGTGGCTATGTTGATAGTAATGCTTGGGTCTACATTTTTGGCTCCTGAGCTGCTGTTACCACTGCACCTTCTGAACTACATGGCTGTAGATGTTTAAATTTAATGCAGAAGAGGGCTGTCAGAGTCGTGCGATGTTTCTGAGTTTGACAGCCTGCACAATTCACGACAGGATTTTCTTTTTCTGTACAGCAGTTGCTAACAGGAACATAACAACCTCCTACAGTTTTTGTGCATGTTTAGTCTCCGAACAGCAGGAAGACGTTGATGAGTGATGAATAGAAGCTCCTTTTCTATTGCTCTGAAACTCTGTTAGTGTACTTGTACTTTAAATTATGGGAGAGCGTTTTCTCTGGCTGATACCCTGTGGTTAGTGAACCTGCACATGGGATGCAACGTAAATGGGAGAAGCTGGACGGGAGCTAGATATAAGCATTTCCCATGCTATGAGTTCATTAGTGATGTCAAAAGCATGACATCAAATTATTGCAGCTTGACTTTTTCCCCCCACCTAAAACTGTCAGTCACTAAAAAACTTTTTTCACTAAAAAACGTGGGGGGGGGGGGTGCGTGTTTCACCTACCTAGGAAGCAGTGGGCAGTACAGAATCTGTGCAATTTTGGTGCCTAAGCAGGAATCTTGAGGCCAACCACTGCAACCCGGTCCAGGACATATTGGCAAAACAGCTCTTCAGAAAAGACAAAAGATTTCTCATGCTAGGAACAGGGCATCCAGTAACATTCAAAGGATTGTGTACAGTCTCTTCTGGAAAGAAAAAATGCACATACAAAGTTGTACAAGGTAAATCCAGCTAGTTGCAATAGCCTGGTTTTGGATTAAATATCTGGTCATTTGGTTTGGAATTTGGGGTGTGAGGGGTTTTTTTGCTACCCAAACCAACTCAGTTCTGATCTTAAAATTGGACAAATTCATTAAATGCCACATGCTCTGAATTAAGCAAATACAAGGAAAGTAAAATTTTCATTTGCTTTCTTTTTTTCCACTAAAGAGCATAACATAAACTACAGCTGTTTTGTTTTCAACTTTTATAAAATTCTGAGAATAATTTGCCAATAACAATTACATCACCGAAAAATAGCAGTGGCTGAATGTCACCTGTAGGGTCACCTGTAGGAACACTCACAATCTTTTTATTTGTACATCAACCCTCAAAAATTTGCCAAAGTTTTATCAAATAAGATGGCAATATGTTGGGGTTTGGGACCTTTGAACTTCCTTGGTGACTGTAATGAGTGCTGATAGCAGATTAATACCTCTGAAGGCTGCTCTGAAGTTCCTTAAATTCCCTAGGAATACAGTGTCTACATTATAGGCCTTGGCAGTGGTGTTAGCTGCTCACAGTGATGCAGGACAAGGATGCAGGAGGAGGAGCTGGGCTGGGGGAGACCCTCACACAAAACCTCTCGTCTGTAGGGCTGAGGGTAAGAGGATTTGTTTCCATGTTTAGGCCAAATGTGGTAATGTCTTGTGCCGGGGGTATTTTTCAGCTTCCACTACAAGAAAATAGGACCAAAAGATTTTGTTTTACTAGTGAGGCTTTAATGATTTCCAGCAGTTGGGTAAAAAAAGAAAGGAAAATGATGCAAATGGAGGCTCATCTGCTTTGTGCTCCAGTGGTGGCTGGAAATTTGGGTTTTAAGCATTGCAACCTAAAGGGAGATCATCAAAAGTGCCCATTCTGGAAAAGAAAGATAAATCAAATCTCTGTGTCTAATCATTTTTCCTCATCAGTCTTGTCTGTGACTGAGGTGACATTTTGAGTATGACATAAATACATTCTGCTCTTGTTATAAGACTCTATGCTATAATAGACTTGAAATAAATCTGTGCTATCATGCTTCCCTGTGCCACTAAAATTCATGACACCCTTGTTGCAACAACATTGTTTACAATATTCCAAAGTAAACTGCAGATATTGCTGTAAAGAGATGTTTACTATTATTTTCATGTTTTCCCAGATTGCAGACATAATGTGACTCTGGTCTCTAGATATTTAACTAAAAAAAAGCAGTTTTTTTCCATTTTATTTTAAATGATTGATGCCTTGGTTTCAGCTGGGATAGAGTTAATTTTTTTTCCTAGTAGCTGGTATCGTGCTGTGTGTTGGATTTAGTATGAGAATAATGTTGATAACACAGCGATGTTTTAGTTGTCGCTAGGTAGTGCTTACACTAGTCGAGGACTTTTCAGCTTCCCATGCTCTACCGACTGAGAAGGCTGGAGGTGCACAAGAAGCTGGGAGGGGGCACAGCCAGGACAGCTGACCCAAACTGGCCAAAGGGACATTCCATACCATGTGACGTCATATTATTATTATTATTATTATTATTATTATTATTATTATTATTATTATTATTATTATTATTATTATTATTATTATTATTATTATTATTATTATTATTATTATTATTATTATTATTATTATCATCATCATTATTATTATTATTATTATTATTATTATTATTATACTTTCCTTTTCTGTTCTATTAAACTGTCTTTATCTCAAGTCAAAAATCTCACTTTTTTTTCCCCCTGATTCTCTCCCCCATCCCACTGTAGCAGGGCAGAGAGCGAGCAAATGGCTGTGTGGTGTTTAGGTGCCTGCTGGGTTAAACCACAACAATTGAACATTACTTAATTTTTCAAGTCAGATTCTTTCACACAATTCCAAAAGCCTAAAATATGATATATAAAACTGTTGAGAGTGAATGGCAGGAGCATACTTATCCACGTCAAAATTTATAAAGCTCAGTCATTTAGATCTGAATTGTGCCACCTTTACCTGTGTCCCCACGTGTAAGTAATCTAATCTGCAGCACAGCCTCCACTCCCAGAATCATGAAGAAGTGTCAGGGCTCCGCCTCCATTCCCTTTACATTCCATTTTGAAAATCAAGCTCTTGGCAGTATCTCCCACCTACATGCTACTCATTCAGCTACAAATCCTAAAGTCTTATCAGCCCTCTTTTATACCCTCTTTTGTACTTAGATCGAATAAGATCAAGATGCAAATAAGAAACCTGAATAAGATCCAGGAGAAAGAAGAGACAATGAATACATTCTTGTCTGTTTTGAAAACTTTCCCTAAAAATTTTGTTGGACTGACAAATCTTGTTTTAAATCTGACCTTTTAAGAATTTCAGGGTTTATTATGGGAAGGAAAGAAAACGGGTGCCCCCAAACCCACTGTGCCTGAGAAAAGAAACAAGAGTTTTAAAAGGCTGGGAGAAATCTGCTTTCATTAGTCCTGCCTTTTTTGGGGGGGGAGAAAGCAGGGAAATATTTCTGCTGCTTCTCCATTTCCTCTCCCCTTTCTGTAACTGGCCACTGGAAGAAGGTGAGGAGTGAGCAGGGAATGGAATTTCACAGGAAAACACAGTCTATTTCTTTAAGATAGGTACCTTCTTGCAAAATGTTCTCCATGTGCCACAGAGTTCTGTGTTGGCCAGCTGCAGCACGGGAGCGTGAAGCAAGTTAGGGAAGAAGCACAGTCACCATGCGGCATTTCTCAGCCCACTATGAACCCGAGGGTATCTTTATGAAATAAACCACTGGCCACCTGATGGGACATTGCCGTGGTGGTTTTTCTTTACAACTAAATGCAAATTAATTTCACATTTTGAATGCTGTCATGTTCCACTTTGATTGTCCCTCCCGTTTTAGTGAGAGGGGATCATTCATGCATTGATTTGGCACTTGTTTTTTCTTTTTTCAGTAGTTGCATGAGTGGGTTTTTCAAACACAGATGTGATGGATGAGGCATGGCCACCCTTCAGAAGTGCATCTGCCATCTGTATCCCAGTTCACCTCAGCCATGGGCTTGGAGGCGCCCGAAGCCTCACTCCGTGGTGAGGGAGCGCACCCTTGTTTTCACTTCTTGGGGTACCAAGCCAGCTCCTCAGAGAGACAGGGCAGGCCTGTTTGTATCCTGTTTCATCTTTCTCATCTGGCTATGACTTTCAGTTAAAGGATCAACTTAATGGTGCAGGACCTCACCCCAGGGCCAAGCAAGTTGCATAATATTACATGATGGGTCTGAAGAAGGGTAAAAAAAAGTCTATTTTAGACAAAACACGGAGAGGACAGTGCACAAATAGAAATGCAGTGTTGGTAAGGTGGAACCCGTGCATGTTGGTCCCACCAACTTGCGGGCATGCTGTGACCTGTACACAGCATCAGCCTCAGCCAGAGCTCCATGGCTGTGCTGTACGAAGAAATACAACACAAAGGTAGATAGCACCTTCTACTTGACCTGATCACTTTGCTCGGGACAAGGTGATCTTTAGAGCTGCCATGGCTGAGCTTAGCATCTCCCAGCCACTTTCCATATGCCTAGCTACTCCTAATCTGGTTTCAGTGGCTGATCAGGTCGAATACATAACAGTGCTGTGAACCTCCTCGATTTGCAGGGGGAATTAACGGAGGCCAAAA